GCATGTAATCTCCTGTTGCTGTGTAGCTTTCAGGCATCCTTCCACGTTCTTAATTATCCTGATAAATTTAGGGAGATTTGTTTCCAAAGAACACATTTTCCAGCAATTCATAACATAAAATATCACACATAATGAACTCTATCACACTACGGCCAAGAAAGAAAGAGCTCGGTTATCCCTATAGATCCACTCTTGAACAGCTGTGGGGAAGCACAGTAAAATGAGGCATGTTGCATTCTCTAGAGACCACCACTGTGACCAGAAGTGTGAATGACTACCCAAACCTCATGTTATTTGCAAAGCTGAAGAGCGAGTAGAAAAATAAATGGATCATAGGCACTCATACAGAGCCTTTAATTAGAGAGAAGGATGTGGCTCTCTGCATAGGAAAGCTGTGTCTTCATGTGGTGCAAATGAACACAGCTCTATTATGGAATTACATCAGTCTGTGCCAATGGGGATTTGGTCCAGGTTTGCACACGAGGATGTCTGTCTTTACCATGGAAACACAACACCTAGGTGAGGGACCACACGAGCAGCTTAACAGCAACTGTTACTTGACAGAGCAGGAAAGAAAAATGAAAACAATTGTTCTAATTGAAACTATGGGGGGTGTGTAAGTAGGGTAGAATGCATTGCAATTACCTGATTTGGAGCTGAGCCACAACACCAGCACTGCTGCTCCTGCTCTATGGGACTGCAAAGGAGCCTAAGTAAACAGGATTCTGGTTTTCCATCTTTGGCTAAAATGGTTGTTTACATAGAAACAGAGAACATAGTAAAAATACATGGTGCTTGCCCAAATGTGAGGACTGAAGCAAGACCACAAGCTGAGGACTGAATTGCTGTCCAATTCTTGCACCAAACAGCAAAGAGATATGGTGCTCCCTCAGAGAGGTCTTTCCTGCCTGGGTAGTGGATGGGCACAGTTTTGACCAGCTGTAGAAAGGAAACTCCAGATTACATACTACAAAAGAAATTAAGGCTCCAGAAGAGTTAACATGAACATTCTGGATTTCCTCAGATTGGAGATGCTACCAGCTCACAGTTCCCTCTCCCTGCAGTCTGCTTGCCACATATTACTCCTATTCCTTCCTCACAGCCATCACCAGCAGGCTCCAGGCACTGCTCCTCACTCACCACTACATCTCTCCACATCACCTGCAGAGAGGCAAACCTGCATGGAGAGTTGTTGAGAGGCTGGTCCCCAGAAATCCCACATGGCAGTGGATTTCCAGGCATGGGGTGCATGAAAGGCACAAAGACAATAATTTTGTTATAATAATTTTTTAATTACAAAATGAGGCTCCATTGGTATCATGAAGAGGGTATAACCTGGCCTAGGATTATTTCAGAGTATACCTTGAGAAGCAGAGATAGTGTCTACAAGAAAGACTAGATGAAGTCCTGCAGGAACAAAGTTCCTTTTCTGAGGAAAAGCCAATAGGCAATGCCACTCATGGTCCAACAAGCACATCTTAGTCATATAACAGAGGAAACACTGGAAGTATCTGCCCCATCATCAGTCACTGCTTCGTGGCTGTGCCAGTGACTGCAGCCACAGGAGTCCAGTGCATCAGGCCCTGCACACACCCAACACACAGGTCTGAACCTGTGACCCACAGCTTCTGCAGACCATCACAAATCCCCTGAGACATACAGCTCCCCACAGCCTTGCAGGTTGTTTTTAGTTAGACAAATTCAAATGGCTGCCACAAAAGCTTAATCTCTTTCCAGCCACACTCACGCTGAGTGTCAATAGGAAAAGTCCCATGAATACACTTGATAATTACAGAGCCATGGCTGTAGCAAAGAACAAAGTATAATGCAGGCTTGAATACTCAGGAAATTGACTGCTGATATGTTTCCATTCATTGTTTTGTTCTCTGTTCTCAGTGTTATATTAAAATCTCCTACTAAGAATGAGCTTTCTTGTTTAATGGAACTTGTCAGTTAGAGGAAATCTGCTTGAGCTGTTTGATCTATTCTTTAAAATAATATTAATTGCAAATTTAGCACATGACCCTATCGTAGTTCAAAAACTAAAGCTGATATTTTTCAAAATGCATTTGTTTCCCAGAAAAATCATGGGCCATCACTTTCCCACTTGAACGCATTCACTGTCCCTTTGCCACACTATTCAGTCCTGGCTATTCATTAGATATGTTGATCAATTGTACCAGTCACCTGACATTGTTTTCCTGACTCCATTAGTAAAAAGTGATAGTTGTGAATAGCAAATAGTAAACACAGTGCAATCTCTGGTCACGAGAAAATCCCTGAAACACTACATTTTGTGAGCATCTTTACAAAATCCTGACAACCATATCCACATTCAAGTGGGATCTCACATCTATAGGAAATCACACTCAGTGCTTCTGATTGCCTCTCCATTAATGGAACTGGCTTTTCTATTTTTGATTCCATGTGGCTCGTCATTAAGAACTGAATTTGCATGTTTGCTATTCATCCTGATTCCCAGCATGTGCAGTCACAATAACAAATCATAATTTCAGGCTTAGAAGCTGATGTACAGTAGAATCTGAATTTCCCAAGTCCTCCAGTTCAATGGTATTTAAATCTGAAAGTTTCACTTGGTTCCTTGCAGATATAAAAGAACAATTTAGGAGAATCTGATGCAGTGGCCAGTTTAGACTCTACGTATATTTGTAGGATTATTTCAATTTGCTGGTTCTGAAACCTCAATGAAAATCTGCAAAAACGGGTGGCATGGGGTTGTTCACAGAAACAGTATTTCTTTTATGAGTGTCTTCCTGAGCCTAGTTATATCAGAATGGTGGAAGAAAGAGGAAATGGCTGGTTTCAGGGCTTGTATAATTAGATATAATGCATTCTATCATCATCAGTACTTAATCCGTTACTTCGGGCAATCTCAAAAAGACTTTTGGAAGTGCTCAGAGACCACTGGCCATGTCACCATGACCACAAGTGCTGTCACTTTTAGGAATTTGACTTCACAAACAGAGAAGTGGTGCCGTGAGCCCATTCCCTGCAAGGCAGCAGCATCAGCTCTGCAGCTGACTCCCTTTCCCCTCCACCATAGCACCTCTGGCAGGTGAATCCCCTCCCTTGTCTGGTGGCAGCAGGTTTGGTTATCCCTGCTCTCGTTCCTGGAATTCGCTTCCCCTGGGCCTTTCTAGGAGCGCTGCCCTGGTGCTGTGCGCTTCCACCGGTGCGAATTAGGGGCAGCGAGATGCTCCTACACAGGCACCTTACTGAGGGATGTGCCTCAGCCCGGCTGCTCGTGCTGCCGGGGGAGCCTGAGCTCCCTGCCTACGCACCTTCCAGGACATGTACCATCCTCCTCTGCTCCATCTTCCCTGCTCCTGACTAATTCAGGCAGCTGCAGATGCAGGGAATTCCTCTCAGATAAATCCATCCTCCCCCGCCCTGATCCTGTCTTAAAGCAAGGGCAGAATTGTTCAAAACAACCCAAGGGAAGAAATCCGAAATAGGAGGTGAGCTCCTTCCAAGCTCCGGTGCTGGGGGCTGGGGTGTGACCCCTCCTCAGCTCCCTGGGTTATCCTGGCGCCTTCCCCCCGTTCCCCGCTGGAGCCAGGCGCTCCACGGGCTCGTGTTTGCGCGGCCCATGCAGAGCTCTCTGTTCCCCGCATGAATGGCTCCCGCAGGCTGGGCACTGACATCAGCCCCTCTCAGCCCTCCTCGGGCTGCCCTCGGCGTTCGCTGGCAGCGGGGCTTTGGCCGAGGAGAAGGGCGAGCATCGCTCAGCACGGCTGCATCCAGCGGTGTGTTGTGGGGATGCCAGCCGTGAGCCACCGGAGGAGCAGCTGCGGAAGCCTTGTTTTTCGTGCCTGCCGGCAGGCAAACCCTGTCCTAGAATCCCCGGCATGACTCCCTAGAACCTGCCGGCTGTCAGTGCCTGTGCCGGGACGCGGCACATGCTGCAAACACCTTTTTCTTTGACGGCCTTGGCACTTCATCTGAGCCAGGACAAAGAGGGCGCGGCCGGGTTTCGAGTCTGCTCGGAGACTACAATAAGAGCTCTTTATGGATTTAAAATTACCATCCTGCAATACTGGCAAATCATTACCTCTTCCAGGAAATCTGCTTTGTAGTACTGCAGGAAAGTTATCCCTCTTGTGTTGTAAGCCGCACCAGCAGCATTGCAGTCCTGTATTCCTGACCAGAGGCTGCTTCAGCAAGGGATTGAATGACTTCATGTCCTTGGTGGATGCACAGAGTCAGTTCCAGAGCACTCAGCTGTGCAAGTGAAATGCTGGCACCTCACTGATAAGAGGGGAGAGTACCCATGCCAGGGCAGAGGGGGGGACATGTAAGGATGCAGCAGATAATGGTGGCTCAGGGTGCCAGCTCCAGCTCTGAGCTTGCCGTTTTGGGGAGATAGGCACCCCACCTACCTCAGGCCAGACCCTTTCCCTCTGTGGCAGGAGCAGCCAGCCTGGTTTGCCAAGGCTTTACTATAAACAAAATGTCTAATGAAGTGGTTTTTTAGCCACTTTCTTCTTCTAGTGCTGCTGGAGGTCAGAGCCATCCCACAGTAGTTTGCTCACCTTTGGACTTTGGCTGCACCAGCACAGACCCTCCATGCCTACTGGGGAGTGGTGACAGGTGAGCTCCTCCAGCCTAACATGGCTTTGAAACATCAACAAGGCAATTGTACACAGAGAGAAAAAACACAAACTTCTCAGTTCCAGTGCAAGGAGAGTTCTTTTGTTCTCACTTCACTACTTTGGTGCTGTTTGAGGGTTAGACTACAACTCAGACCTGCAATTCTGCTTCAGCTTTGGCTGAACCTCCATGAAATGTCATGTACACTTAAGAAACTTCAGCACAAGACTTGGGAAACACCTGATGATGCTTGATATTGCTTTCTGAGGCATTTTTTGTCCATGAGACTTCTATACCCTGAACCCAAATCCTTCTTCCAGTTTGTCCTCCAACCCTGGCTACACGCTCTGTAGCCAAATAACATTCCCCCTTTTTTTTTTTCCCTTCTGGAGACACAGCAGCTGTTCTGTTTTGCTGCTGAATGAAGCAATGTTTTACTGGCTACGGTTTCCTGATTTGCAGATTTTGGTGGCAGTGCTGTCACAGAGTTCCCACCATCAGCCCCTGCCAGTGTCCCCCCCGCTACACAACACTCAGGCCTTTCAGCTGGGCCAGAGTAGCTGTTCCTGGGAGCAATGCTGATCAGGCACTGGTCTAGTTGAAGCAAAAAACCAAACCAAAACACATACACAAAAGAGGAAAAAACAAAAATCCTTTCTATTTTACAGGGTTTCTTGTTCACAGTCTTAACTACCAGCAGTTCCTGATGTGGCTTGCTGCAGAGTCACATGAAGAGTTGTTTAGATGCAATTGGGAGGAGGCTGAGCTGGAGAAAAACAGTGTGGAAAAAAGCTGAGAAGCATCTCAAGGTAAAATTACTACGAAAGTTTCCTTAAACCATGGCCATGGTTTCTTATCTTGGACCACAACCAGGAGATCACCATAATTTTCCAGTAAACAGCCAATGCATTTCACAATTTATACATCGTTGCACATCCCCCATGTACCAGAGAATCAGCTCTACAGACTTCTCTCAGGCCTTAAAAGGATCCTTGGGCTTCAGTTTTCATTTTTAAATGGATACAAGCATTCAGCTGCACTCTAAGCTATTAAAGCAAAACATCGCTTCACTGATAAACGAAATAATTTCACAATAATTCACTTAATTCAACTATTCCTTCAGAGCAATGTTTTGGGATTCCAAATAACACAAATAATAACAAAAATAACAGCAGCGCATTCCATCTTACTGAACGAAACAGTGATATACCAAAACACAGCTTGTGATACATTATCACCGGCTGTGCAGGAGTGTGGGTGGGAAGCAGGAGGCTGCAAGAAGAGACAGGGCAGCTCCTACACGTGACTTTTTCCTCTGTACTATTTGCCTTTTGCTGAAGAAGCGCAGCAAATACATTAACACATGCATGAAAAATGAGCTGAGGTAATTCCATCTATGAGCATGTGATCGGTCCTGCTGCCACAAATGTTTTCCCTCTAGGTCCATATCTGAATCTCACACAGACTGACTCACTCTGCGGCCGCACACGTCACTACTACCCGGCAGCGTCAGGCTGTCATTTGTTTCCTTTTGGAACGGGATGTTCTATAATAGCTCCAACTCCCACTCAACAGTTTATGAAATTGCAGTTCTTTCACATACTCCTTTGTTCCTGAGCAGCCAGGAGTTTTCAGTTCGTTTCTAAGGAGCTAAAAGAGGATCAGAGTGGCCTGAGCTCAGGGATGCCTCCCCCGAAGCTCTAACAGGCTGTGTCTCTTAACAGGATAAAGGCGTGATGGTTCTCGGTGCACTGTAGAGTTTGTTCTTCAGGAGGACAAAAGAGGCACAGTGCAGAACAGCTGCTTCTGGGGTTTCTCCCATAGCCAGGGAGAGACTGTCATGGACATGGAAGCTGAAGCTCTGGACATGCTGATGGAGCCATGAGACCACAACCAGCTCTGCTTCAGAGTGTCTTGCTATGATGCTCAAATATGCAACACTTGTTTTTCGGCACTGATTAGTTTGACCCTCTGCTGCACAAACACTAATCTACATCTGTGTCTTATTCTGGAACAGGTAAGTGCTTTGAAGTGAATCCCTGGCTGACTGTGCTTCACTTAATACCACACAGTTTCAGAGCTCAGCCTACAAGACTAAACTCATACTAGCCTCAGGTTAAAACCCCAAGTGTCAATAATATAGACACGGAGTTGTCAGCACCAACTGGTTTGTTCTGCTGGCTTGGTGCCCCTGTCATACTGCTTGGTACCCGTCATTCAGAGCCCAAAGTCCTGCAGTTGTTGTATCCCAGCACAGAGTTGCAAAAGGAGGAATGTAATGTGGTTCTAGAAGTGCAGCAGAAGAGAGGAAGCTGCAGTCCCCCAGGGTTCTCTGCCACATAAAGACCATGTTCATCAGGATACACCTGTAACACTGCCAAGTTTCCTGCTGGGAACACCTGACAGGCAGCTGGTACAAAAGGACAGAACCGAGGGAGCAGAGAGCCAAAGAACGAAGGATGCAAAAGATGTCTGCATTTCTCCTGCTTAGTTTTGGGATGCTGCTGTGATTCAAGCAGGCTAAAATGGGTTTGTCTTCACACTGGGTGCACAGCAAAATGGATGCATTGCTATGTGGAATCCAATGTCCCCTGCTCCAAGTGCTGTTCCTCTGTTTAACAAAGAGCTTTAATGAAATAGGGAGCTGACATTACTTCCTAAGGGCACAGCCATTCCTAACAAGGAGGTCAATGACAACTTCAAGCATAGCAAAAAGAGCACTCCTATCATTCTTCAGAAAAGGGTTATCACTTATTACCTGTCACTGGGAATAAAATAGGAATCTTAAAGATGACTTGGAGACAATTTGGAAAAGCAAAACTTATAATTTGAAAATTGCACATAACATTTCTCTGACAAACAAAAATGTTCCTGAGGCTCCTGCCTGCAAGAGGGTGCCCTAAGCATCCCTGCAGATATTTATTCTGACCTTCTGGACCTTTTGTCCGAGGTTCATTCACTGGGTTTAAATAAATAAGCATTAGCAAACTCAAGACTCCGGATCTACCACTGTCCTGCATTGAGCCAAGATCTTAAGCGAAGAGGCTTAAGTCACGTTTATATTTCCTTTGACCTAGAGACAGAGCACAGCTCAGTATCCCAGTATCTCAGTATCAAATGCCAGTTATGGAGCAAAAAGACCTTTATGGCTGCACAACCTTGCATTCAGCTGCCTGAGAAATCTTTAGAAACTGCTGTAAAGGCAGATCACCACAGGCTGGCATTCCCTGCTTGCTGCAGGCACCTTCACATGCAGCGCTGGCTGGGGAGAGCAGCCAGAGACCCAGCCCTGACTTACTTGCATGACAGCCTCAGGAATCCTCCTGGTGCTGCCTGGCCAGCCTTGGGTAATGCTGCACTGCAGGAATACAGTGCCCAGGCTCTCAGAGACAGCCCTTGAGCTTTGGCAGCTGCCAGGACAAAAGACAATCTCTAAATGTAAGTCATTATAATCTCACAGACATCACCTATAACTTTACCTGGGCTTACCTGGGTCGCTGTGGAGGGTAGGGCAGCGTTTCCCTTGACATTCACAACGAACGCGTGCGCCAGAGAATACGAGGCTCCTCGTACACAGGGTATTGTTCTGGATTTCGTATTTCTTCAGGGTTGTCTTGGCAACGAAGAGGGTTTGCCGCTAGAGGTGTGTGAAACACTGGGTAACAAAAAACATCACAACTCCCACTTGTTTCATTCCATCACCCTTTTAAACCTGACTCCTTTTCAACCTGGAATGCTCTCAGTGTGCTGTGTGTCAGGAGGGGCAGCACAAATCAGCACAGACTCCTCTGCCTCCCCCTTTCCCCCAGCACAGTGATTTTGAAAATTACAAAAAATTACATTTTTCATTGGAAAATGATATCTATCCAGACACCCTTACAAGCTCTGTTCCCATTCTCCCTTCAACTACCTTCTTAGGGAGTAGTTCCCTGGCAAGCAATGGAACTGACAGCTCCAGATTGGATGAATGGATTTTAACAAAATTAGGATGGGTTTTTTTCATTTGTTTGCTTGTATTATTTAATGACATTTTTAATGATGTCAGTGAAGTCAGTGGGGTGGTTGTGGGCTGATTTCAATATGACCAGGTCTGCCAATTTGCCCTGATCACAAGGAGTCTTTCCTTTGTGCAGAGAAGAGATGCTGGACAGATACTGCTATACCTGGTCAGCAAACTATTGGAAATGTCAGAAGGCACCTGCACTTCTGACTCAGCTCCTTCCATGGACAACAGAGCTATATTTACTGTGGATGAGGTCTGGGGAGTATTCTGAAAAGTTTTTAAAGCATCTGTGGATGCAGTTTCACCTTGCTCATTCATGTGATTTGCCTTTATTTTTACTTACTGAAGGCATTAAAAAATTAACCCAAACAGCTGTTCAGATGCCTCTATTTTTATATAGCAAAGGGAAAAAAAGTCTGAACAGCTGTGTCAGTGGAACACATCCAGGTGGCATCTCTAAGACAAAGTTTCTACAAAATCTGTAAGAAAATGTTTTTATTATCTTAGTTATTGTATTTTTTTAATTACTTCGCTCTTGTAGATTCTTAAAGAGGTATTGGCTACTTATTTCTCTTCACCCTCATCCCTCAGAGTTAGAGCTGTGCCACAGCTCGGCACAGATGTTGCAGTGATTCAGATGTCAAAGGGGAAAATCACCCTTTCAGTACAATACTCCTGAATGTGTTCTGGGGTCTTAAATGGTATTTAAGGCTGGGTAAGGAAAAATTTTACATATCTGGCCTTTCTATGGGGAGAAACTCAGGATATGGCACCAAAAATTGCCTTAGGGACACTCAAGAGCAGAGGGAATTTGTTTTCCAGGCTGTGTAACTAAGCCAGCTGAGTTGCACAGTTTTGTTGCAGTTTCTTGACAAGGTAGCTGGATCATCCTCAAGGAGAGGCTAATACTCACAATCACACAAGAGGCTGAAAGAGCAGTTGGCTGGAACTCCAACATGTATAGCATTGGGGATTTGGAAATTGCCGGTCAAATTCTCAGGTGGATGATGCTGAAATCTGTCTCAGGTTCACTGAGGAAAGCTTATGAAGAGCCTCCCTTACTGAGGTTCTGAATTCCTCAACCAGTCTCCCATTCTGCATGCTGTAAATTTTAGCTTTCTGAACTCTGGTGCCCCTTCCATGCATTTACTATCACGTCTCAACCATGAGAGGATTCCAGACACCTGCTCCAAGCTCTGCATTTCATGGCACCACACTCCATCTGTGCTCTAGGCTATCACACCATAGTCCAAACCCTATGCCCTGTCCAGTCATCCAGGGCTCATCTCTTCTGTGCCTTCCATATAAATCCTCCTAATTGTGTGATTCTGTTGCTATAAGGCAATTTGCTGATTTATGGATGTGTTATCCACAAACTGCTGATTGATATTTTCTGCCCCGACATCAGTCCTTGGATTATAAACTCTGCAGAACATAGTGAAAGCACTAAAGTGTCTGAAAATTGCCAGCCACATCATAGGTGTTACTGCAAATTATATTCATAATAATGAATAATAATATCAATGATAACTGTAGAGATTAAGCAATTTGTTGCTGTTAGTATTTGTTCTCCTATTCCCACAATATTTGAGAAATATGGGCTCTCCAGAGAGTTCTTGAGACTGAAGAATTATTTTCAGGTGACACAGAGTGCAAAGAAAAGAGTTGCTTTTCAGCTTATACCATAATGATAGGTATCTAAATGCTTGAAATCTGTTTCTATACTGCTAAGACTTTTTTTTTTTTTTTTAAATTAGTTTGAGAAACAAATTATGTAAAAATGTCTGTGCAGTGTTGAGAAGGACTGTCTTACAGGGGAAAGATCAGCAGAATAATCCCTGAGTCCAAACGAAAATTTCATTCTCCTCTAAATCATTCCCTTTTGGTACATTTTCTTCATATTTAGTAGCTGGATGCAATTCCCTCTATATGTACTAAGCTTGTGTTATTACAGTTTGAGCACGATATATGTTTATTTGGATTCTAACAAGATCATCAATCAGGAAATACCACTGCACTTCATATTATGTATTTATTTATGGTGTTAGGATGAAATTTACCTGGGTCGAGAGAACAAAATTAGGCTGTTACAGCCCTTGGTTTCATATAAGTTATTTTCCTCTCAATGCCTATGCCCTGTGGACACAAATTTATTTCTTCAATACTGGATGAAAAATCTCCCATTCTTTCACTGCCTCCAGGTAATGATGTCTATACCTTTCCTTCTGCTTCCAATTTTGTGTCCATTACTTGAATGCTTGAAAACATGAAATATAATACCATAAGTCACAGAGCAAGAAAATCTGCAGTATGTAGGGAATATTTCTTTTCCTTTTCAATCCTTTTGTAATTAAAGAAATTCTACTCAATCATTTGATATCTTCAGTGACATTATCATACTTCTGATCTTAACCTTCCAGTTAAATTTTAGGGGCTGGTTAGCCATTAGAAAGAAGGAGTATTTTGCAGACAGGTTATGGGATGCAGATTTGGAAAATCTCAGTTCTTCTCTGAAGTATGTCACATGCTGAGCAATGAAAGATTACTTTAAGTGGAATGTGTACTAATAAATGTAAATATGAAAGTGAAAAATTACATCACAGAATATGAGAGCTCAATCTAGTTAATCATAACAGTAATTAACTTAAATAATACAAAAAATATCAGTGAAAAACATTAAGAGACCTTTGTTAAGTGTCCAAATGTGTTCTGATTGTTGTATTTGACAACTCTGCAAGAACCTAAGTCTCAGAGACCTGGAATCTCCATGAGATTAGATAGTATTTGCACACAAAATGCACGAAAGAAGTGAAATGAACAAATGGCATGTTTATCTCAAATAGAATAGAAGTGTTATAAAACCATTAAGCAAGTAAAAGTTTATTCAGTTAATTGGCTAAGGCCCAGCAACGATTTCACAACACTATCAGCAGGGTGTTGAAATACTAATAAAAAAAAAAAAACAAACCAAAAAAACCCTAAGAAACCAACAGCTTGACTTCAGAGAAGCACTGTCATTTAAGCAACACTCTCTTCAGTATTTATTAGATAAGAAACTGTTTATCAGCATGTGTGTATGTTCTTCCTGGAATCAAGGTTCATGCAATTTATTTCACATACAGTGCTTTGCAATTTTTCCATGCTCAAGTACCAGGAAAAGTGGAAGTAAGAGTCATATACAGTTACAAAGAAATGTGACACATAATATTTATATTTACTTAGTGGTTTGAGCTAAGATAGACATGCAATCACAGTGTAATGAGTTAACCAACAGGAGCTTCTGGCACATCTTGTGCACAGAGGGAAAAAAATCTCTTATGAACATGGATAGATAGGAATGTGTCAAAGCAGGAGCACAAGGAAAGGTAGCCCATGCAGCTACTGATACAATAGAAGATTTGAATGTTGTGAAATAAAAGAGATAAAATAAAATTGAGGTGTAACCTATGTAAAGCCAATGAAAGATGTGCTCTGGACATTCAATAAAACTCCAGTGCAGTTTGTAGTGATTATGTAGCAACCTTTGAAACAGAACGTTTCTGAATTTCTGGTCCCTTGTGTATCTTTTCTTAGGAATAGTCTGGCCATCTAGGAAATATTTCACTTTACCTTCCAGCACACACTGAAGTTTCAAAACAATGCAAATGTAAATAATTCCTAATGCCAAACACTTCAGTTGCCAAGAAGAAATGATGCATTTTGTACCAGGGCTGTATTATGACCAAGATTAATTTTTGGATTGTCTCTGGCTATTCTTTAACAAAAAACACTTCCTGATGAAACACAACCTGTAACTCATGGGTTTTGTATATTCAAGGGAACTTTTCCCAACAGCTGATTTACAGTGTTCACACAGAACAAGCTGCACTGTGACCTGCTTTTAACCCAGCTGCCAGATATTCCAGAGGTAACATCGTGGGAGAGAGCACTGGGTTTTTGAAGATGAACCTACTCAGCAATAAAGATTAGGTTCTTATGGAAAACCAAAACAAAACAAATCAATGTTTGTACCCTAAATTCTGTTAACAAAAGGGAAATACCTCCCTATTATGATATAAGCAACTATTACCCAGCAAGAATTGAGACCAGGCCTCAAGTAATATTTCAAAGTATGAGTTATTTGATCAGGTTGTTTGGTGAATGGCGCCAATAGACTGGTCACACATGTGGTTGCAATGTCTCTAACCAGATCTGCTCTCTTGCTCTGTAAAAGAAGTCAACCTCCATAAAAAAGAAACCTCAATACAAACCTAAGAAAAAGTAGAACAGAATGAAAGAAAATAAGGGAGAACTGAAAAGTGGTAGAGAAATAGTGAGAAAATACTGGGAATATGTTAGATTATTATCAGATGAAACTTCCTTTGCATCCAGTTTTAGTTACTTTTGGGAATAACATGTGACCAAAATTTGCTTATGGCTGTCATATCAGAAGAATCATGTGCCATTTGAGTTTTGTTGATTCCTACCATGTCAAAACCTTTTGTTAGAAGCAAATTTCCCTGAGTAATGTGGCAGCCCCTCCTTCCAGCAACCAAACAATATTTGTTTGAGTCGAATGCAGTTCACAAGGCGTAAGTCATTAAGCATGACCAAGCTGACCAATCACACCACACAAACACCGACTCGTCACCCCCAAGTGATGTCAAAAAATAACCACATCAAGTAAACCAAAACCTCAGAATTTGGAACAGTGGATGGACTGAAAAACTTCAGTTTCTACACAAGCAATTTGTCAAGAGAAAAAATGCTGCACTTGACAAGGAAATTCTTTTGCTGAAAGTTGCATGCTCAGTTATATGATTACATTGCTGGTGTTCCCCTGTTCTTCTTTTTCCTCCTATGTTTCTCTCTAGGAAATATTTCCAGAACTTGCTGGTTCAGTTACCTGTTTCACAGCTGTGGCATTCAGTGGTTCCAGGAACAAAGCCTTATTATTATAAATACTTCAGTTACAACATTTCTAAGGAAATTAGACTGACTATCATAATCTCCTGCAGATTCTTACCTGCGACTTTTAAATTCTGTAGTGTGGCAGTAGACTCTGAGGATAAAACACTATTTTTTTTTTTTATTTAATTAAAAGCAAAAGAAGAAATTCAGGATAAAAATTTCAAAGCCTGGAAAAGGAAGTCAGAAAACAGCAAGATGAGAAAGGATTAAAAACAACACCACACTGATGACTCTGGAAAATTCCAAGTCAAAGTACATCTCAGTATATTACAAAGTACACATTTTGTTTTGGTACAACAAGATGATAAACAGTACACTTGGACTTCAGAGGCTTTCTTTGAAAAAGTTTTTTTAACCTTTCTTATTCAACCTTGTACTTGAGTATCAGCCTGTTCCTGAATTTACAGTCATGCATATTCTCCACACTCACACGTAAAGTTACATTGGCTTCCAGCAGATTATGTTTTTGAGTACAGACATCATCCCTGAACATTATCTTCTGGCCTTCAAGCTTGTCACATAACATCTAGTATTTAGATATTAGCTACTATCTAGAAATGAGCCATCTTGACATGATCCAGGTATTTCATCACTCTGCACAAGTTCATGCCATGAATCAGCACAGCACAGGAGATGCTCTGTCACTCCCTGGTACTCAGTGCTGCTTTACAGAATGTCACAGTATCAAAGATAATAACCAGCCTCTGGAACAAACAAATCACAGACTAATGAATACAGAACATTAAAGCCCAAAGTAATTTTCCCTGCACCTCCCCTAGAGAACTATAACCAACACTACAGAAAAAGCCTCAATGAAATCTTGCTGAGTTCTGTTTTGCCCTGTTGAAAGCAAAGAGTGATGTAAGATTTGCTTGGAGTTTGAACTGAACCCTCTGCATTGTTCTGAGAGCTTACCATTAAAAGTAGAATAAATGTTAGCAATAAAAAGGTCAAGAAAATGAACATCTGAGAGCATCTAAAGGTCTGCAAGGGACCTCATAAATATACAGCCAACATCCTCCCTGATGGATTCCCCAGAAGAGAATTCTACATCACCCACAAAGCACATTTTTTTATAATATGTTTCTTTCTGTCTGGATACAAAGTACTGAAGCAGAGTGTTTAACATATGACTTGTAAAATTCAAAGTTTAAAGCTTTGGAAAACAACTAAGATTAGAGACATTCAACAAAATTTTATCCCCCTTCAAAAAGTGTCTCTTTGTTCTTAGAATCTGTCAATAAACCAACAAATGAGACTCTCAGCTATCAATACGGTTAGGTGCCATGGCTTTAGGTACACAAAAATAAATTAAACAGCATGGGCTTGTTTCATACCAGCACCACAGGCAACTGCTGTGGGTTTTCCCACCTGATGTGTTGGTGAGGGCTTAGGGTATTTGCTGTCATTTCACTCTCTGGTGCCCTAAACTTTGAAGAATACAGTAAGTTCTGGCAAATTTTGTTGGCTCAGGTCCCTTCTACATGGGCCATGTGTGACAAAGAGCAACTTCTCATGAAAAACTTAGCAGAAACTTGAGCATGCTCTGCCAAAAAGTCTCTGGGGAGCAGGGTTTGTTGGCACATCCCTACCTTCATGCAGGCAGGCAGCAGAGGTGCATCTTGGGGTTATTCAGCTCCAGGCAAAAATGGTCTCTTCTAAGAAAAATGAAAGCAGAATTACAGAGGATACAAGTGGTAAACACAAAAGGGGAAGACAGAGAAACATGTATCAAAGAACATGCACAGACAGAATGGGAACATTGTGCTGTTATCACAGCATTTACACATATAGGATACACGTGTATAGGATTCTGTTTCTCCTCCTGGCATTCAGCCCTGGGTGGTGAAACAGCTGATGCTTTAGGCTGTAATGGTCCATCCTTTTTCCAGCTGGTCAGATACCAGCTGAGGGACCTCTGTAAGCACCACATAGCTCTGGCAACAAGGACTTGCAAGTCAAGTTGATGCTGGCACACAAATACTTGGGGTGTCTTTTACCTGCTGAAAATTCTACTTCCCTCTCCTCTACCCCTTATCATCTCTTAGATCACAGCAGAAAAGGAAATGGACAAACCACAGCAACCGGGTCATGAACTAACTCTTGGGATCCATTGTGTTGAGTCTGTGTTCTGGAGCTGAAGTGAGAATATTTGACTAAAGGAAAAGACCCCCCACATCTAAGAGAAACCACAAAAAAGAAGTGACAACAAACAAGCTCTGCAGTCAAGGAAAGGGTAAAATCTTGGCTCTATTGAAGTCATTGGGGATGTTTGCCAGAAAGCTGTAGACTGTGTGTTTTATCCAGGACTTTTAATTAGTTATTAAATGATTCAATGGCAAGTTGGCTGGTTTAAGACACAAAAAAATATCATAGAATAGCTCCAGCATGCCTCTCTCTGCCCTGCCTACCCCTTGGGAGGTTCAGATCATGCACAGCTTATTTTTATGGGAGACTTGTCAGGTATTTCATAGAACCTTAGTTGAAATCAGCAGGTTCCCAGGCCCTGCCTCCTTCCCAAGTTTGGGGCTGAAGATAGGAAACACCTGCTAATGACACCAGAGACACAGCAAATATCAAAGTCATGTGTCAGCAGAAGCACCCTGGAAACCTGGCCCTTGCAGTACCGACACAGCCTGTCTGGTGGGGGATAGTGCACATGAAGAAATAAGATGCTGTGTTTGTTTAATTGACGTACATCTGAAAGGATTTGGATTATTCTTGAATGATATACCCACAAATAAATAAGGCAGCTCACTGCCTTTGGGCTTTAGCCACTTTGTGAAGAGCCCCACAAGCTGAACGACCTACTCACACCGCACACTTCTGGCTTGCCTCATTTTTCTGCTTTCCTCACTCTCCTGCCTTTCCCCGTCCAAAGTACACCGGTTTCTATGGGAACCAAACACATCATCGGAATGGACAGAACTCAGTGACGTCCCCACGTGCAGACCAAAAACAGGGTTTAAATAAGTGCTTTGCAGTTGGAGCTGGGGAAGGCGATGGGTGCTGGCCCCACACGTGTTTGTGCACATGTGAGCGTGGGCGGCTGGCCCTGCACGCTCGCGCTGTCCCCTTGTCACACGAGGCACACACATGCACAGCCACCGGCTCCCCGGCACGGCAGAAGGCTCGGCAGAACCCGTTCCATCCCATTCTGCTTTAATATAGCTGAAAATTGCTTTGACAGCTGAATAGCTTCTTTGTTTATAACTCGTTCTTAGCTGACTCTGCTGCATTATAGAGCTTTGTAAAGAGATTACTTTGTCAAAAACTGAACATATATGGTCTGGGCATGAACAATTTAGTGTGATGAACTGCATTCATTTTATGTGATGTGCAATCTGCAGTCCTGCTGCCTGTAATGCATCTGCTTTTCTCTGTGGGTTTAATTTTCTGATCTCAAGTGTTTTATGAATTTTCTTGGGGTCTTTGAGATTATCTGTTATCTCCTTTACTCTCCCCTGGACAGATGCAGAGAATTTACAATATGTCAAACCTCAAGACATTTTGTCTTAAACTAAATGTACCAAATCAAGATTTTGGCTGCAAAGAACAGATCATCATTTTTATCCACCTGCAAATATCTTATTCCTGCCCTGAATTGCTAGAGGTATTTTGTGTTTGAATTAGGATTTCAACACAGTAGAGTGCCAGAAACTGGCCCCACTATAGGGAACACCACATGGAACATATACAGCTTCATCCCCAATGCTAAAACCCTAACTAGACAGATCTCTATTCACATGAATTCAGCGGCACCTGAAGCAGTCCATTGTCTTTACAGAGCATTATGTATAAAATATTAAAGCAAAACCAGGCTGTACTGCACTGCAGGCACCTATCAGGGCCTTGCACTGGGCCCTGGATGAGCTTTGCAGGCTCTGAAGCCATTGCCTTTAGCTGTGCTTGAGTTGATTGCACTGGTCATCTCTGATCACCACTGCAGTTTTTACTCCTAGCTATGGCTTGCTTAGAAATTACATTACTGCAGGTTGACTTTGTGCCCTGCCTGGAGGCACAAGAGATACAGGGCATTTTTTTCTGATTTCTCCTGTCTTATTTCCCTCTCCTTCACTCAGGTTTTAAAATAAGCAGCATTCTGATGGGCAGATGATATGGTCTAGTATAAAAATGACTAAGAACATTAATTGTCCCAACAGTAAAATTCCTATCAGATTTGTACTAGGCATTATATTGAACTTTCATGGGCTGGAGCACTTTTCTTACAGACATCACTGGTGCCTTTTCCTGATCAGGACACAGAGCTGTGCCTCACAGAGTCTTGCATTTCAAGGGGTTTTGCTCAGCCAATGAACTGTCAAAACTCCAGTTTACACTATGCCCTGCATTTTGCACTCAGTGGTATTTTGCCACTTCTGAACATACTAACCTTCTCTATAAGCAGAGGGGAAGCTGGTCAGACAGACAAATCCCTCCTTATCTCTTAGTCATAACCCTGATCTACCTCGGATGATTTAAAGAGCTTCGTACATATTAATCTGTCAAATAAAAAGGAAAACGGCTTCTTTGCAAATCACTGTTTGAAAACAGAAGTTGCAGAAAGATTCCTCACAACCTTACTTGCTCCCACTCATACACTCATATGTCCTACTCATGAGCACATATTTCACAAGAGATGGCACACTACATGCTGTTCTGTTGAAAAAAAAAATAAATTGAAATTCAACATCTCTTTGAAGGTCCTTGTATTAGAAACTAGTGCCTTGACCAATTAATTCCTTAACTTTCACCCTATAGCAAATGATGGACTGGTGTCACTGACAAAAAAAATACCTCTGACCCAGCAATATTCAGGTAAATAATGGAAGGCTGCAAAGGTGGTTTAGAAACAATTATACTGGGAATTTTCAGATTTAGTAAGAAGTCATGCGGTGTTCAGAGTCAGTAAATTTCCACAGACAGTTTCTGTTCTTCGCCCCCCCTTGTGGCAAACATGGCTGAGCCACCAAACATGTCTCAATCGGTCTGTAACCTGCTCCGCCGCAGGAGCCCTCGGAAAATCCCAGCCCAGCAGACACCAGCTGTGCTGGGATATGGCTGGTGCCAGTAAAGACAGCAGGGATTTGCACCGTCACTGCTTGTGTGCATTGGTCAGGGAGGCTGAAGTCAACCGACTGAAACACATCAAAAGCTTTGTGCAAAAAAATGACCAGGAGTGAGAAGAAAGGAGAGTCATGGTTTGCAGAGGAAAAGTAACTAATTTCTAAGGTCAGGGACCCTTGATACAGAGAGAAAATGAGAAGTAGAGAGGGGAAGGAAGGCATGTCATCACCTCACAGCATGATCCTTCTGGAGTAAATACAGCTTTGCATGTGCCCAGTGTGCCTCGCCCTTTCCTCCAAGAGGATCTCTGTGTTGTTTATATCCTAAATGGTGGATTTCCACCTTCATATATCTTCTCATTTTGGTGCTGCTGGCACATAAAAATTTGAATTCAAGTTTCCAAAACCAACTAAAATCCCTGCCTCTGCCTCTAGTCTTAGCTGTTCCCTGCCAGTGTATGAACATGACTCTCCTTCCATAAGGTCATAGTTAATAACAAGCTAAATATGTCCCACCTAGAGGACCTAGAGGGTCATGGTGTCAGTCTACATCTTATAAGTAAACATGAGAGCTTATTAAAGGCCATTTTCCCCAAAAATGACCTTAAATTTTGGGCCATGACAATGAGTCAGTGCATAACTCCTTCGGCTAAAGACATATAACCAATTTTCTCTTTAGGACTGTGCCAGGGAATACATTAGACAGTGGACTCCAGGCTCCTGCCATTTCTGACCTCCCGCTGGCTCACAATGCCTCAGATGGTTGACTTGCATCACACTCCTCCTGGACATGAGAATACATTTACCCAGAAAGGAGATCTTGATGCTCTGGTTTCTGGAAATCACAAGAAAACACAAGGGTTGATGCTATTAGCAGATGGAGACTTTTCCTGTTCAGAGCACTTTCAGCCTGTCATACTTATTGGAAAAGTGGCCATGGTGGGAGCAGCACCACAGGCCCAGCTCTCAGTGCCCATTAGAGGTAAAGATGCTGGGCATGAGCACATAATTAGGATTAGCAGGTTGGACCTCAATAGATCAAAGCATTTAAGACTGTATCTGCAGACTTGAATAACTGAAGGAAGTCCAAGGCTATTGCAAGTGCATTTTTACTGTCAATGACAAATTTTCCATAAGTACTAGCAACCTTTCTCTGGATTTCATCCAAATAGCTTCTAAAAGAAATTTTGAAAATCCAAACCCAGAAAGAATCACCCCAAAGAAACTCTGAAGTGATTTCCTTTAAGAGAAGGGATAGGTACAGGAATTTGCTCATTCTCTTGTCTCTGAGACAGGCAGTGGGATTTTGCACAACACAACAGCCTGGCTCAACCATCCACGGGATGTTTCAAGCCCTCCCTCGGCAGGGCTTATGTCCACCTGAAAGAGTAGTGATAGGGAGGGAATTGCACAGCCACTGCCCCAGCCTGAATATTGTGAGGCTCTTCCAGACCAGCTCTGTAAACAGGAATTACCTTTTGAACCCTTAAAAACCACGCACCATATCATTCTGGAATGGCGTTAATCTCCCGGTCGTGGAGGTCAAAGCAAGAGTTCTATTATAAGCTCTGTGAAACACATCTCCTTCCCAG